TGGGAGCCTTCCTGCACAGCAGGGAGTGACGTTAGGTGTGTGTATGTGAGCCAACATCAGTCGAGAGAGGTGAGCAATGAAAAATAGAGGAAGAGCCAGCATAACTTAGGCACAGCTGTGTCTTTTCATCTCACTGACTCCAAAGAGCATACTGAAGTTGAGCCTAGACAGTGCCACATAAGGCCTGCGGAAAGTTCAAGCCAAACAACACAAAATTACTCAAATAGAAGTTATCTATAGAAGAATGATCAAATCTTCCAGGATCCCAAGAGTAACACAAAACCATTAATCTTTCTCCCACATTTGCCTATTATAGTAGACAAAAGTCTTTATTACACTGATTTAGCCAAAATAAAACATTTGTGTTTTTTAACATGGAACACTAGATTAAGTATTAATTAACATAGAGATGCTTGGTTATATTTTCTTTGTTAATCTAGCAGGATTCCTGTGTTTTCAGTATGTTCTGTAGTAGAGGATTCCAATAATAAGTCCAATATCTGTTTTACTTTCAAATATTGAATATTTTTTTCTGTATATCCTTTTAAATGACCACCATACGAATAAAGGCATGCAGTATTTATCGGAACATATGGAGTATCATCTAATATAGATTTGCTGTGGATCATCTGCCCATTGGTTCATCAAAGAGAGTTGAGATTATGAGCACAACTGGGACTATGTTCTGAGAGGTGCTTTAATAGTAGGCGGTTGTCTGAGCTTAAATCCTTGTTGTGAAGCTGCTTGTGGTGACTCTGATCCTTTAATGTATAAAGAGGACAATGCTGAGAAGGAGTAAATGGGATGTGCCTTTGTGAATGACACTAGTGAGATTATTATTATTGGCATAGTGGGTAAAATCCTGAAGTTAAACAGAAGTCAAATCAAGTTCTGTCACTGTCTCCAGCAGAACTGGGATTTTGCTAGCCACATTTGTTACCTCTGCCCACATTTTAAAAAGAACAGTGAAAGGACTGGAAATTATGGATAATATGAGAGAGACTGAAGAGGCCCACTCCATGCAAGTTACCAAAGACAAGTTATATATTAGCACCTTCTAGTAGCAAAAGCCTAGTATAAATTTGGTAGTAATAAAAGGGTCATATCGATAGCTGGAAAATGGGGCTATTCAAATTCAAACTAGATTTCAAGTACAACATTTTGGCAGAGAGTAATTATTCATTGGAGTAACTGAAAAAAAAGGTTGCAATGAATTCTTCAAGTCTGAAGCATCCTTAAGCTGAGACTAGATGTTATCCAGAAGACACAGACTATGAATATTTAGAACCTATGTTAAAAGAGACCAGCCTAAACCCTATGTTCATCCACCTGGCTTTCAGGAGTGCATCAGGTTCCCTCCTTGATGGTGTTAGGAGAGGACAAACCACTGTTCTGAGGTGCCTGTCCCTCTTAGCTAGGTGGGGAGGAAGCACAGGCGCAGAGCTAAAGTTGGCTAGACAATATTTGAACCCTCCTTCCCTTCAAAGCACAATAGCTTTATTCAAAGCCTGTCTGTGTCTCGCACTGGATGCTTTAATGTTGACTGACAACAAGCTGGGGTTGTGTGATGTCCTGCTTTGACATGGACAGAACTTTCCTGACCCCAACGTTGATCAGCTTGTACCAGAAGCATTATTTGGTGCTGGACCTTGTACCAGCATGGCCCGTCCTGCACGCTGTGTGTGAAGATGCTTTGTGTGAATACAGATATTTCTGTGATCTTTCTGAAATCTGTCTTTGTTTGTAGTGAGTGAGGACTAGTAACCATACTGGAGGCAATGTAAAGATGAGGAACCAAAGACCTCTTAGCACTGTGTTTGCAATTTTAATGCTTTAATTAACTCTGTTCTAAAACCCTGTAAGAGATTAACAGAAATAAAAATAGATAACAAATTAATGTTTTGCTTTAGTTGTTCATCTGAAATGCATGCTGCTTTATATGGTGCTTTGCCTTTAATGTCCATCAACATCATTTACCAAATTACTTACACATCCTGCTGCAGCACCCAGGGGCTAGACTGTCTCTGAGCATGCAGAGAAGAGGGAACTGCTGATGGAGCTGCCAGCTCCATCATCTGACCTGCGGCTTTGGAGGGATACGGTGCTGCTTACTGCCCATCTGCAGCTAGGGTCTGCTTCGACACTTGGCACATCCACGTCGCCAGAGCTGCTCCATAGCCACAGCTGCCCTTTGGGAAATACCGCCATTTTTTCCCTGAAACAAACTAGATTATTTGTATTTGACAATCAGTCATCAGAAAACACAAGGATTTCCTGATGAGAAAAATAACAAAAATACCGTCGTTGCTAGTTTCAGTTGAAGAAAAGGCATCTCCATCACAGAGAAGGTACATTCCCCCTAATGAACCCCATGCTTTTCTCATTCTGACTTGTAAAGAGCTTGTTTGTTGACTGAGATGAGTACACATGAAATCTGGCTGCAAAAAAAAAAAGTGGTTTTAATGATCCCAGTGGACAATTTGTTGATAATACTTTGTTTGTGCTCTTGAGAAACAATCTATGCCTCTGCTGGGTAGAAAGTGATATCAGGAAAATTACTGTGGCTGTTTTCACTTTCGGAATTTGTTTTCACTCTGGAGAAAAGCTGTTGGTCGAAATGGTAGGTCGAACCTTGAAGACAGAAGGTAATAGAAATGAATGTGCTGCAAGGAAAGCAACGTTTGGGTTGTGATCCCGAGGCAGTCAGTGCTCTGGCATGGATTTGTTGCCACCTTTAAAAGAAGCACAAGTGACAGGAAGAGCAGCACAGTCCTGCCCTGCCTCCACTGCTCTGCACTTTGGAAAGTTGTAGTCGATTCTTCACTGCAAGGACGCTCTGTCCCTGCTCCTCCAGCGGGTCCCCCTGTGCAAGGGCAGGACAGTGCGAAAGAGTAGCCGTCTTTCCTGGTGCCTGGCCACAGCTTTTTTATGGAAAAAAGAACAAAAAACGAAAAAACACACACACACAGAAGCAGTGAGCCAAAAAAAAAAAAAATGTGTACCATCTGCACACTTCATTATATTTTTAAAAAATCATAAAAGATGGGCATTTGGGTTTGTCTATAATAACTGTGGGTCAGGTAATCACCATGTGTTTTTATAGTATAGATATAGATACATAGCTGATAATGGCAGTTTTAAGCTACTAAACCTCCATCCTGAGTGTTGTGAATGGAAAAAGAAAGGGATATCTCACTTCTGATTTCCTAATCTTTCTGAGCA